CGTGCGTGTTTGTGAGGAACCTCCCTCGCCAAGCACATTTATGCTGAAGTGTTATACATCGATGTCTCAGAACATTTTGCAACCATCGATACCAAGAGGTCTATCCACAACAAGCTAATGAGTGAATAGTACATCTGGTATGGATGATTGGCACCTGCACTTTGGATAAATAAACACTCCTAAAGATCTTAACAGTAAGCGCAGGTGGGTTGTTTGTGGATGTGATTAGTGTAATGTGCGTGGGGATGAGTTGTGTGGGTGACTTAACTGGTATTTTCTTTATAGATCTGCGTGTTATATGTATGATATGGGTAAGGATTTTTTTTTCCATTACTGGCTCTAAGCATGTAGGATCTGATGAAAATATATAGCACAGCTAAATATGTATAGCAGCATACAGCTTGTCCTGAGGTAATATGGCATACTTATTTGATTTTTTTTACTTAAATACTATGTTAAACAAGAGAACTGACAAAATATAGATGAAATAAAATGTTTTATGTGTAGATGAAATGTGTAGGAAAGGGAAGGATAAAAAAAAAAAGAGTCGAAATATGATAAGGAAAAAGCAAATACTGACAGGAGAGTGTTACTGAGAGAAGAGAGTGAGGAAGGTTGAGAAATGTTCTTGGAAATAGAAAGGTGTTTCGTTTATATGGGAAATGGGAGTGAACAAATGTGTTTTATCATGGAATCAATGGAACGGTTTTGGTAGGTTGCTAATAATTACTGAGGTATATTATATGCGTCTCCTTCGACATCAATTACCACTACCATTGAACAAAAGAGGAAAAAATCATAAGCTTAATTCATGAAATTATGTACATTACTGAGGTAGATCAATTAATGCTTTACAAATAAATATGCTTCATCACTGAATACATGAAACAAAGGAAAACCACACAACACAATAAATCAGTTACAAACTTTTGTTTTACATATATCAGAACACAAAAACATAGTAGATAAAAATAATAAAAAATTATTTGCATTAAATGTAGACAAAAGTGAATACAGTGTGCAAAATAAAGGTTCATTGAACAAATTAATTTAATTTACATAGTTAAAAAGAAACAAGAAAAAAAATAAAAGCCCATTCTATAATGTTAATCAAAGTCAATGATTCAGCACCTCCTAAGGGCTGGCATATCAATGCGTAAAATCTTTGTTACTGCATGAAACATTGTTGTAAAAGTGTCATAGTCGCTGAATAAATTGTAGACATCCAAGAATACATGTCTAAAGTTAAAGAAGGAAAGATATATAAAGAAAAGAGCCAACTGAAATAAGAAAAGATAGGAATAAAGAGAAATGAAAAGGGGAGATGAGAAAAGAAAAGGAAAACAAAGAAAAGAGAGATAAGAAAAGAAAAGAAAACTAAAACAGAAAAGACATGCAATTAGAACACTTTGGTAGAAACCAATGCCTTCTCCTGTACAGAAGTGAAATGATCAAATAAACTCCGCCACTAACTTCTACATCACATAATGAATGAAAAAAGAACAAGAAAAAAAAAAAAAAAAAAAAAAAAAAAAAAAAAAAAAAAAAAAAAAAAAAAAAAAAAAAAAACTCAAATACGAACAGGTTTATGGTAACTTACTGAGTTATGGCCTGCCCCTTTGTAACTCTTAACACTTAAATGATTCAGTGATTGCTAGTTCTTATTATTACAGTTTCTCCACTTTCTTTACAGTTGGTAACTTGACAAATACAATCACACAAAAAGCTTATATACTGTTTAATGCCACAGTTCTTTTATTCAGTGTCACATTTCAATCTATAAATCTATCTATCACTAAGAACAATGTACATTGGACAAGTTTGGATGAAAAAATAAAAATACCAAACTTGGGGAAAAATTACATCACAAAATATTGTACAAAAAGCACTGACCAAAATACTGGCAAAAAGGGTAATATATATATGTATATATACTGAAAGTCTTTCTTTCTCATTACATACTTCCAAATGTACAGCAAGGAAGTTTGGCTTTGACACTTTACTTATTGTTACACTCATACAAGCACATTGTTGTGGAGTACATTAAGTAAAAACCAAAAACATTATACTTGAAAACATAATGAAGACAAAATCCTTTTTGTCATAATTCGAAAATTATGATGAAAAAATGTGAGCAAAGGAACTATCACCAAACTTGGAACACCAGACTTTAAGTTAAAGTCAAAACATACAAGGTGCAAAATTCCCACAAAGGACCCTAATGATACTGTTCTAGAAAATAAATATGTCATAAGAAAAATAATAATGGAACAGGAGAAATCTGTAGCATCCTGTCCATCAGAATCATATCAAACAAGGATCATGTGCACAGACACAATAAACTGAATGTGAAATATTATTCAAAAAGAAAGAAGGGAAAATAAATCCAATCCTACTACATTTCTACAATTTAAAACATGTTAGTATATACAAGGAACTTTGAATTCTGTTATAGTGATTGGTAAAACAATACTATCAAAAAATAATACATAGTTGTCCCAGAAGTACACATTTCACAGTGCTGAATCACAACACCAAAGCTTAGAGGCCAAACCCAGAAAACTCAGATCATGTACCACTTTTCATCTGCGGCACAAAACTAAGGCCAAGAAAATGGCCTAACACTGCATACTGGCACAAGAGATTGGATAAAGCAAAACCTGATATCTTATCAAAAATTGCCTAAGTTATTTAGTTACAAGTCAAATATTGGTAGGCATCATTTGTACTTTAAATCCTAAGTTGTACTACTTTGGCATCAAGTATCAAGCAGTGTTACCCCAGTGGTTGGTCTACTTTATGGCTGGTCAAAGGAACATTACCTTTAAAACTGTACATACATACATCTGTGCAAAACGCATAACAAACATACTAAATCACTTAAACATATGAACATCTGACCATCAACAAGCACATCCAACCATATTTTCAAAAAAGTTCAAGCAACTATTCATACAGCTTCAATCATGCTTAATTCTTCACTTGTACAGTATCTGAAGTACCTACACTTATTGGAATCAGTAGAAATAACAGCTGTTACACATTTGCTGGTATGTATAAAAACCTTTGAACTATTGAGATCTTGAGCATCTGGGTGATAAACATCTGAACTTAGCAGTTAGATTCTAAAACTAAATTTCTTTAAATCAAAATATACCTGAATATTTCTTTTTTGGGTTACTGACTTCAGCAATATGATGTGAACCCTATAGAGATAACTGAGCACAGCTAAAGCCTGTGGCCAAAACACATACTTGTAGTTATATCAGCACCTTTGTTGTATATGTAAGGCCACAGACTTTACAACAGATTTGGCATTTTTAACTTTAATATATGCAGAGACTATTCAACAAGCCTTTGCATCAGGAACTTTAGTTATAAGGCATACCTGGGTTACTCTGTTGAAAATAATCAAAATATATATAAAGGAAATAGAGGTATTTGGATCCTTTGATCATATATGGAGGGTAAGACTGTATTACTCTATCTGAATTAACTTGGCAGGGCAGTACAGAACAGAAATAAAAGACAGTGCTTTGTTAGACTTCGACAAACATATACCTGCATAATACCCGTATTAATTGTATAACTTCACATTACTGAGGAACTTTTCGTTGTATTCTATTTAACAAATAGCTCTCGATATGGTCATATCAATAGCAACCTTATAATACTATACACCAAACTATTGTATAAATATAACCATCCCAAGAACATTTAGCAACAAACAGTAACAGCATAAATTTTCTGATAAATAATATGCTAATCACCTTCATTACAATGTAATTACATACAAACAGTGGAGTCTGTGGTGGCTCTGAGTAGGCACAAGGATTCTGGAGAGTTGAAAAGAAAAAAAGAAAAGAAAAAAATACTACTGATTTGTATTTTTCATTACTAGCCACCAAACAAACTCTTGATTGTCTAACTACCTGACAGAAGTCCTAAACAAATACTTAAATCATGTTATGATACAAACATTACTATAGAGTTGGATGCCACCACTCCTCCACTAATAAATATAGAATATTTCTAAACAGCAGTGGCACCCTAGGATTCACAATCTGACTAGGATCAGCAGGTTGAGAAGTGGCCCAGGCACACCTGCAGCCATCAGGTTAATGAGTGGCAGGAACTAAGTTGTCGAGAATCTACTACACTGTCTTTCAAAATGTGTTAGTTGTATTGTTACATTATCCCTAAGAATACAAAACTATCTATCAAAGCAGCACCTCCAATATGAAGTAATTATATTATAATTAAAATCTGTCTAGTTTTTAAATCATAGCATCAGAAAAATATCAATCCAATGAAAGGATTCATGTTACATGCTACAATGAAATGCCTATAAAGTCTTCAGCAGCTATAATAATTTACTTAATGGAATGAGCTGACAATTGCTTTATTTGTACTTATATACCTGAGTTTGGTCACAAAAGGTTATCTGTCATACCAGCTTAAAATAAATTATTAGAGATCAGGACTTATGTCCACATCTTACGCTGAAAATTCATCCCTGAGTCATCCACTGGCGCAATGGACACAGCAACACCTGCATTGCTTTAATTCATCTATTTCTTGGTTAGTTAAACAATTTCAAAATCCTGTCCTGTACTGCCCATCATACATTTGTGTAAATGTTCATACTGCTTAGAAATCAGGGTAATATTCATTTTCCAGTAGCATAGCCAGTGGGGTGTTTGCATAATGATTTGTTGGTCTTGATTACTTTGCAAATATCGAAGTGGAAGTGGAAACAACTTATGATAAATAATGCCTCAAACATCCCTTTGGCTATAGAGCCTTTCTTGGTGCTATAAATCACCTTTTCCCACAGCACTCTCAACCAGACAACAACTGATGATCATACATATATAATACATTTATCAAAATACATTGCCAAGAGTGAAGCATGTATGGAAATGTGAATATGGGAGCATCAAACACTGAGATGATGCTTCTTTAATCAATGAATATTTAATAATGAAACAGCTTATCATTGGTTTTCCAATTCTACACTTCACTTTGGCAATGCATTCATACAGTACACACAGACCAAAATACAAAGGGGGTAACTGGCACACATTTCCATTATATTTTCACAATGGCTGTCCATCAATATTGTTATGAGGAAATCAACAATAGATAACACATGTTTCAACATTACATCACAGACAGGCATGAGGTTTCTTGAGTAAATCATACTGGATACATATATATTCCCCCAGTCTGTGTGAACTCTTCGGCTTAGAATCATTAACTAACAACTTACTATTTACCACTCCAAATCAAGAAAAATAATCTAGTTTATTGGATACATTTCACTGAAAGCTTCATTTTCTTTCCCCAGATGTTCTGGCTCCTACCTCATTCTCACATCTGAATCCTTATAATGCTCAGAGGGTTAAATTCATTTACATAAAACTTTTGGATACATTTTTCTAACCCCTGAGCATTTAAGGGCATTCAGGCACATTCTAGGATACATCTGTCCTGGTAAATAATACTTTTGCTATTATTTTCCTACTATGTCATAGCCTCAACCAGTCAAAATCTACCCATCTTGATTTTGTGTTGTTGGGGCATTGGCTTCCTGTGGGATTGGGAAAAACTCATCTTTACACGGCCCAGAGCCAACGGCAGCCATTCCTTCAGAAGTAGGGAACAAAGCAGGAGAATCTTTTGGAGCATCATTTGGGCCACCTTCTCCTGCCTCATTACGATGCGTGGAGAAAACGTGGATCTTTACACTGTGACGGTGTTGGAATTTTTTCTTGCAGATTGGACAGGAAAACTGAGGTTCAACACCACACTCATACTTCTTGTGCCGTTTCAAGTTACCTGTTGATGCATAAGTGCGGCCACACTTCTCGCACGCAAACTGTTTAGGAGTTTCTGAGAAGGGGTAACCCAGCATGGATTTGGGGCTGGATTTCTCTCGGCCTTTGAGGAGTAGAGGAAGGCCAATAGGAGGGGGACGGGCCAGGATGTCTGTAGACATCCGGGAGGGCAACAGGCCAGGGAAACCAGCTCTCACAAGGTTATAAGCACGCAAGTAATCTGCAAGAAAAATAGGGGTTAGCAGGTAGATGAGGTTTGTGCTGAGGTTAGCTCGACACTACTGCACAACAGAAGCAGTTGGGGGACTGTCCTGAGGACTTCTTCTGCAAATGTATAGTGATACATTGGGAGAAGTGAGCCTCAGCACATCCAGCCATGCAGAGAGAGCCAGTCAGGAGAGAGCCAGAAACTGAAGTCGATCAAGGGGGGGGCAGGGGGGGGGACAACAACAAAGCCATGCAAATGCTGGCATCCAGACGCTAAGAGACAATCTCAAAAAACCCTATTATATAAACACAACCTTAATCCAAGACATAAATAACACAAAGAAACCAAACGAATAAATAACAACAAACAATATCACAATACTGTAGTTTAAAATCCTTACGATTCATTGCACTAGAAATTAAATGAGATCATTCGTTACTATGAATCACATATCATGAGTATATAAAGTAATCCAAAGAGAAATACATTTACGTATTAAATGTAATTTTTTTTTCCAATATTTTTTGTCATATATATATATATATGAGTGTATATATGAATGAATATATATATATATATATATATATATATATATATATATATATATATATATATATATATATATATATATATATATATATACATATATATATTCATACAAACATATATATATATATAAGCACATATACAGTACATAAGCACATACAGATAAAATGTATGTCTATTCATAAATAAGTGTACATTAGTGTATACTGTACTTCATACAGACACATTTATATATGTACATATATGTATTAGCAGGAATACATAAATACATACATATATATTTATGCATGTTTACAAAAAAGCAAGATATCTATGAAACTTCATATTTGTGGTGTGACAACATATGTTGTTTCAAGTTGAATTTATGGGTGCACTTCTTGTTGCAGACAGGACACATAAACTTAGGTTCAACTCCGCATTCGAACTTCTGATGGCGGTGGAGTGAACGCCTCACTCCGTAAGTCTTGCCGCAGCGTTGACATGTGTGTACCATCCCTCCGTGAATGTTGCTGGTCGACTGCACCAGCGGCACACCCAGAGATCCCCCACCACTGCTGCCATTACTATTGAGGTGGTTGTTGTTTAAACTGCTGTTACTATTGAAAGAATGGTTCAGGTTAGGAATGGGTTTGATGTCAGTATGGTGGATGGAACTGACAGGGGATAGGTTGAGGGGCAAAAACTTCTCAGATCGAGGGGAGTCTGCCAAAGCCCTGTGCGCTAAAGCTCTGGTCAGGAGTTCTAGACGGCTAACGGACTGATGGTGGCCTAGTCCCATCCCCCTTAATCCTGTAAGGTACACAAGATCAGGGGGAGGCTTGACACTTGGTGAGGGTGGGGAGAGTGTGTGTTGGATTGGGGAAGAGGGAATCGAGGTTGAGGATGGAGGAGGGGATGGAGAGGCGAGTTGGGTCACAGGATCAAAAGGCTTTCCGGAAGGGGTGGGAGATGCAGCGCGGGGGGGCACCTGGGGGTTATGTGGGCCTGAAACACGGAGACACTATGTCAGCGATGGCCACATGAGCTCAGTCAATACCATCACCGTTTGTGCCCCTTGTTCGAGTATGTACTCTATCTACCACTGACATCTTTGCGTTTGCTTTACTAGCCTACATCCATGCTGATGTCCACTGATAACTAAGTATGAAGACAGCTGATGGTACTACATTAAATAAAGAAACAAAAAATCAAGAGTTATGTCTTACCATTCAAAAATTCCTAATAGAACATTGAAGTAGTCATGCAGATACTTTGGTTTTGACTTACTACTTTTGAATGCATTACCCTACAAAGAATTTGTGAATCCTACAAACATTTATGGTCATAGCAAGTTTACAAGAAATTGCAAAACTACATAAAAATCTACTGAATTATTTGCTGACTACTTAATGAATGTTTTGTTGTATACAGCGGCATGCAAGAAAAGCAGGAACACCCTCTGTAATAATGGGTTGTCCACTATATTCTATTAACCACATTCTAGTCACAATAAAAAAAGGAGAAAAAAAAAGGGGGATGAAAGTTAAGCCGAGCATTTGTTGCAACCATCTAAAGATGATACCAATTAAATAGCAAAATCAAAAATGAGCAGATCCATTTTCTACATTAAAGAAATCAGTATACCACTCAAAACTGTTAGCCAAACACCAATTCACTGCGAGGAATAATGTGCTGCTGGTGAAATACAAAGCAAATGTTGGGGTTGGGGTCAAAGGAGACTTTGGGGAGAGGGAGAAGAGGAGACTGGGATTTTGGCCATTGCACCATTGCAGGAAGAGTGCTTTCCACTTGCACTCCCATGTCTTCGACTGCTTTACACATTCCACTGACGACTCTTTTTCCCAATAGGAATGCTGTATATGCACTCCAGATTATTAGTTCTTAGTGAGGAAAAACCAAATTAGATTTCTTCCATACACTGCTTCACTTCATGGTTTCAGAAGTTTGATAGAAATATTTTCCATAAGTCTTCACAAGGTATTTCCAATTTTATGAACTCTTGGGTTTGTATCATGACAGTTACATTCATTCACTCAACCAAGCACACAAACTTGTGAAAACTTTTCAGTCACTGCACATTCAAAAGACATACACATCCTTATGTATTAAAGAAAACATGTAATTTTCCCAATATTTTGGAAAAAAAAAAAAAAGTTTTTCATGTTAAGTTGTATTTAGTTACCTGAATGTACTTAATCTCAAAGGAGGTAAGGAGAGACAGGAGAGAGAGGCAGGAAACAAGTAGAGGGATGGATCAACGGAGGGAGGGAGGGAGACTGGGGAGGGAGGAGAGAGAAAGAGAGAGAGGAAGGGGGAGAGGGAGGTAAGTAGAGAGAGAGAGAGAGAGAGAGAGAGAGAGAGAGAGAGAGAGAGAGAGAAGAGAGAGAGAGAGAGAGAGAGAGAGAGAGAGAGAGAGAGAGAGAGAGAGGAGGGAGAGGAGAGGAGAGGAGAGAGAGGAGAGGAGAGGAAGGAGAGAGAGAGAGAGAGAGAGAGAGAGAGAGAGAGAGAGAGAGAGAGAGAGAGAGAGAGAGAGAGAGAGAGAGAAGAGGAGAGGAGAGGAGAGGAGAGAGGAGAGGAGAGGAGAGGAGAGGAGAGGGAGAGAGGAGAGGAGAGGAGAGAGAGAGAGAGAGAGGAGAGAGAGAGAGGGGGGGGGAGGAAAAAGAAAGAAATAGATTATCAATGGATTTAAATAACCTGCCAAAAAATATGTACAAATTGGCTAATCTAAAATCTAAGTCTTAACAAATAAAACCTTGATATTAACAATAATACAATCATCATATTCTACACACATACTCTACAGACTACCTTCTAACTACAATGTTCTTATGTGAATGTGAACATACCTGATGTGAATACTAAAATTAACAATAAATATCAACAAAAACCCTCATTTAACTTCCACCAATCCTTAGCAACATACCATATATTATATAATACTAATTGCAATAAGAAGCTGAATATATAGTTACTGAAAAAAAATAGAAAAAAAAGCAAATTAAAATCTTATCTCTGTAAAATGTGGCATTAAAATATGACTATTGTAGCATCATGACACCAATCTGTAAAAATTCACACACACACACACACATACATATATATATATATATATATATATATATATATATATATATATATATATATATATATATATATATATATATATGTGTGTGTGTGTGTGTGTGTGTGTGTGTGTGTGTGTGTGTGTGTGTGTGTGTGTGTGTGTATATACTTCTACACACAAGCTTAGATATATGAATTTTTTCTTTTTTCTCTGTGACTGCTTATTTTGTGCATGTGGAAGTGCGAGTATCTATACAGTTGTGAGCAATTGTGAATGTAGATGTGTTGATGTTAGTGTATGTGAATACATAACCTTTCTTTCTTTGTTTATCATTTTGGTAACTTGACATTAGCTAGCACTAAGAACAATATGCCTTTTGGAATTCCATCAACCTTATGCAAGGTCCAAAAAGCAGTATGGCAACACAGAAGTTGGTTTACTTCATAAAATACTAAACATTAAAAAATATCTCAAAATAGCAATACATTATCTTTTACTACCAAAACGATGGGCACTGCAAACAAAAAGGCGTCTTATATTCCGTTCCAGAGGGAAAGAAAACAAAGAAACAAGTCATATTAACCCTTTAATGACAAAGTTAACATAACAACAACTTTGATATTGGAAATAACAAATAAGTATGAAAATAAACCATGTTATAAGTAGTACCGAGTAAAAACTCGGGTGAAGAAGAAACAGTTCTACAAAGGTCGTCTGGAGAGAGCTATGGATCAGGGGTCCAGAGGGATGACAAAACAAAGGTTCAGTCTACATGTATTGGCAGTGTACATATACAACATAAAACAATAATGAAATGTAAACAGTCTTGGGAGCGGGAGGGGGGCAATTATGCGATTTCCCAAGTAATAGTTGATTTTTCTAAAGTGGCCATGTTTCATGTAGGTTAAGTAGATAAAATAGTAGATAGATAGAAGGAGTCAGAGAGAAAGACAGAAAGAACAGACATGGAAGAGTGAGTGAGTGAGTGAGTGAGAAAAGAGAGAGAGAGAGAGAGAGAGAGAGAGAGAGAGAGAGAGAGAGAGAGAGAGAGAGGAGAGAGAGAGAGAGGAGAGGAGAGGAGAGGAGAGGAGAGGAGAGGAGAGGAGAGAGAGAGAGAGGAGAGAGAGAGAGAGAGAGAGAGAGAGAGAGAGAGAGAGAGAGAGAGAGAGAGAGAGAGAGAGAGAGAGAGAGAGAGAGAGATACATGTCAAATACTGACATTTAATATAATTCACTCTGAATAATCAAATAATTTCCATTTTCAACCTCTTTAAAATCAATGTGGCCTTTCGCTGTTGTCCTTTGGAAACTTCACAGAAAACTATATATATATAAAAAAAAGAAAGAAAAAAAAAAGGGGGGGGAAACATGTAATCTTTTGAGACATTTAAATCTGTTTCCCCAATGGATTATACTGAAGGAGCTGTTCTGGGACCTGACTCTCCGACCCTAATTCCATCTATTGTGTCAGCACCTCAAGATTTCGACTAAGACTCCTGCTCAAACACTACAGAAGTTGCACATTGATAAGCTCGATAATATGCACAGAACACCCTAGCTGACCAACATTTGCAATAAAAAGTTTTCTTTGTACGTCTGGTTAAAGCTTATAAACCAGTAAACTGATCTAAAAAACAGTTGTGGATATCAAAGCACATTAAATATAGGAAATGTGATGAGGAACCTTCTCTTACTGTAGAAGTTGGAATGAATGTTTGAAAGTCATAGCAACTGCACTGAATGATTTCAGTCAGACTACAGTATAATCTTCAAACATAGGAAAAACTAAATTATTCTTAAGAAATATGGAGAGAGTCATGTTATAAGATCAAGTAAAAAAAAAAAAAACATGAGACAAACAAAAATGATAAATCTAGAAGAAAAATTAAAAATATATACAAAAATTGCAATTTGCTGTGCCACTATGATCTTTAACATCTGTAATAACAAAGCTACTGCGGAGGTCTGTGCATTGGGCGAGGTAGTAGCATAATTTCTGTTGTAAGTTTGGACATTACCAGGCTTATGTAAATGGTATGATAGGATCCAATTTCTATGAGGAGGAACATAAAACAGATAGCAGAACCTTCCAATATTGTATGTTCTACTCACTTTTTTCCTTTAAATCTTTTAATCTATTCTTTACTGTGAACAATGGGTCGATTTGTTAAAATTGTGGGAGGCCAGACCTAATAAATATTCATATCTACAAACATGCATATGTGCAGAAACAAATGCATATCTGTCTATTGATCAGATATATATACATCTATCAACTCATATGGTAGCTATAAATGTCTACACTGATAGATACGCATTTACTTCAGCGCACATGCATGTCCATATAATGAATTTTCACTAGGTCGGGCCTTGCACAACTTTAACAAACTGGCCGTTAGTCCTGTACCTTTACGCAGATCTACCTTAAGTACAAAATGAGACACTAACTCCTGAGAGGAGGGGGTGACTAGGGATAAAATGATGGACTTTTCACGTGTCTAAAGTCATCAGAAAAAAGTTGAGCGTCCTTTTGCCACTATGGTGGTTTTGCTATCTGAATAACAAAAACAAAATTTAAACATAAAAAACTAAACAAAAACAAAACCCAAAAATAGAGATAAAAAAGAAGTCCGAGTTATCTGAATCTACACCATTCATGAGGTGCCAACACTCTGGATTACAATTTTAAAGTACCATTGCCTTACTGCCTTCATTTAACATAAAAATATTTTTTCTTATACAAACTGAGTAAACTGTATTCTAATGGGGATAAAGACATATATCTATATATATATACTGTGACCACGTACGGCCTTCTTCCTCCAAGACCCTTTGAGGGTTTA